AGAGAAGATGGGCCGAATGGCCCATAGGCTGTTACTTTATATTATCTTTATGTTCTTCTCTGTAATGGGCCTTATTCTGGGCCCATACTCTTCTATGTTCCTTTTTTGTAATTTCTTGTCCAACTAAGGACCTCTCTTGTAATTACTCAAATATTAACTTAATAAAAGATTATTAGAGTGTTAGGGGGAGGTTTAGTTCGAACCTCTCATCCTCTAACTCTCCTTGCCGCAGCTCTCTCTCTCTCTCTCCTTCTCTAATCTTCTCTAATCTTCTCTTGTTAGTTTTCTGTTTTTCTTGCACAGTCCCATACTTCTCTAATCTTCTCTAATCTTCTCTAGTACTTACTTCCATTAACTCCAGAAAGATATTCAGAAACATGTTAGACACCTCATATCAATATTAGATACCAACAACACACATATAGGTTATAACATCTTTCTTAAGTAGTCTTGTAATATTATTCATATACATTTGATATTTATTATTAATTGAGTTATGCCAACTTTCTTCTGATTTGTAATACATGCTTCTTCAACAGGATCCAGATGATACTTTAAAGCGGAAGACATTTGAACTCCTCTTTAAAATGACCAAGTCCACCAATGTGGAGGTGATAGTTGATCGTATGATTGATTACATGATAAGCATTAATGATAATCACTATAAAACAGAAATAGCATCTCGATGTGTTGAACTAGCAGAGCAATTTGCACCAAGCAACCATTGGTTTATCCAGGTCTTTGCCATTCCAGATTCTTGATTCAGTTGTCAAGAAACTTCTTTTTTTCCTGGTTGGATCTTGCACTAAGCCACTTCTATCATGTTCTTTTCGCAGACCATGAATAAAGTCTTTGAACATGCTGGTGATCTTGTCAATGTTAAAGTTGCACATAATCTAATGCGTCTAATTGCAGAAGGTTTTGGAGATGATGATGAAGGCACAGATAATCAACTGAGATCTTCTGCTGTATGTAACTAAATTCATTCAACATCAAATTGTATAATTGAACTCGGTTTATATGCTTTTAATGCATGATCAGTGTGTTTGGGTTTCAGATGATAGGATGTACCCTATTAGCAATTTACTTTGTTTTCTTTGCAGTATGTTAAATTGTTACTTGTTAAGGATATTTTCTGACTCAGTTTCTTATAATGAGTTATTGATTCAGATTTCTTTTCTTCTTTCATGATATAACAGTAATTCTTATACCTTAATGAAAAATTATAAGCAGCAGTTTGTTGCTTGATTTTAGGAGCTTCCTTACTGCACTAGTTTTGTAACCTTTGTGCTTTTGAAGAATTATTTCATATTAGGTAGTGGCATTGGCATGAAGCTGCTTATCAAAGCAAGTGTTGGCATTACATGGAAGAAAGAAAATTTTACCATTGATATTTGACCTTCTAGGAAAAGAAACAGACTAAAAGAGGGAGATAACAAATGTGATGGCATATTGTACAGTTTCACACTAGCACCTTTTTCACACAAGATAGGGATAGTAACCATGAATGCGCCCATATTTTAGAATAGAGTTCAACTTGGACTGGGTTGGGTTGACCATTTTCTAAATTTTGAATGGGCCTGAGCCCAAACCCAATCTTAGTATAGTTGAGATTCTTAAAATGGGTAACCTGATGAATACCAATATTTTAGTATAGTTGACTTGCCATCCATTTTTGTCCAGCATCATACCCCATTGAAGACTCTCCATATGTAACCAACTCACATAGATAAGATATTTTTATACAACGGCAGTACTTTCAATTTCTCTGATCTTTTGCCATTTCATCTTTTCCCCTCTGAACTTCTGTTACCTAATTTTGACGACTTTATTGTTTGATGCAGGTGGAGTCATATTTACGCATTCTTAGTGAGCCAAAGCTTCCATCTATGTTTCTGCAAGTACTTCTTTTTACTCTATTTAGGTTTCATTCTTTCATCTGTTTTCCTGCATGCAAACAATGCTGGAAACGTATTGGTTCTTTCTCTTAACACTTCTGACTTGCAGGTAATTTGTTGGGTCTTGGGGGAATATGGAACTGCAGATGGAAAGTTTTCTGCATCCTATATCACTGGAAAGTTATGTGATGTGGCAGAAGCACACCCAAGTGATGACATTGTCAAGGTATTCATAAAAATTTGCGGGTTCTGGGTTATTAGCAATTTGTATTGCATTTTTTCCATTGAATGGATTGTCTTATACTAAGATGAGAATCAGTCCTCTAATATCAGGTTTAAAATCATTGATTAACAGTACAAATCAAATCTGAATGATAGTGCAAGAGCTGTGTATGTTGAAGAGAAAAGGTAAGAGAAGAAGAAGTCGAATTAGTCTCCCTTCTCCTTTAACCCTATTTTCATTAAATTCTAAAACAAATTGATGATGACAAGTATACCCTTAAGTGGGCGGCCAACTTGGCAGTTACATAAAGAAAATAAAATAAGAACAAATAACAGGCCCATTAAGTGAGGCCCATCAACATAAAATAAAAGATAAAAAAAGGATATCACATAAGAGGCTGTTAGGGCCTATTCAGCCCAGTCTCTTTACACTCCCCCTCAAACTAAGCATAGATGTCAATCATGCCCAGCTTGCTTATATAGTGTGTCAATTTCCCCTTGGGAATTCCCTTGGTCAAAATATCAGTCAGTTGCTCTTCTGATGTGATAAATGGGAAACAAACTTCTCCTGAAGAGACTCATTCCCTTATGAAATGCCTATCAACCTCAATGTGCTTAGTTCTGTCATGCTGAACCGGATTATGTGCAATGTTGATAGCAGCTTGGTTGTTACAATAGAGCATCATTGGTTGCTCGTAGTCCACCCCCAATTCCTCTAGAAGGGATCGTAGCCATAGTAATTCTGACACACCATGAGCCA